TTTTTTTATCTTAAAGTCATTCATTAAGATAATATGATGACAATAACAACAACAACAACAATAATAATAATAATAATAATAATAATTTATAACAACAATAATTAGAATTAGAATAATATAAAACACACACACAATAAGGTTTTTTTTTAGATTTTCTAATTTTTTTCTAGTTTTTTTTCAGATTCTTTTAATTTTTTCAGTTTTTTCTAGTTTTTTCTAGTTTATTCCAGTTCTTCCAATTTCTTCAAGTTTCTTTCAAGATCCATCTCTTTTTTTCATGTCCTAAAGGACATGCTTTGGGTGTCATCTGTAGTGTGTGAACTATAGAATGTCCTTAGTAAGACCGAATCATGCTACCAATGTGCGGCCCTGAAACAATTCATTTAGCTTCAGAGTAAATTATTTTCCCTCTAATATTCCTCTTATTTTATTTCTCTCCCTAGTGTTTGGATTTCAAATGGACCCAAACTGCAAAGGGTAGGAGGATTTCTCATGGGGTCACAAAACCATTGAGGAAAGTGTTCATCAGTAGGGACATAACTATCTTATGGGATGAATGTATCTTGACCCTTACAGCCTTACTTGAATCCAATGTGGTAGACGTAAGACAAAAACGGGTTGGGCTGGTAGCCCGTGGATGTTACTCGTATTTTAGTAGTGTTTCCATTGTGAGGAGTATTTTAATTGAGAATATAATGTGCATAATAATATTGCAACTTCACATAATGTTGTTGAATATATACATTAGAACTAAGCATGCCATTTACCATCTCTTTTGGTTTTCTCTTCTTTCTCTGCTCGTGATTTTATACCGCACTTCTCAGATATTTCTCAGGAATTTTGTTTCCATACTCTCCACATCTATCACACCTGAACCCATGATCTTATTGCTCATTCATACACAGATTATATTGTAAGGGACTATTGTGTAATCTGATAATAATAATAATAGTAATAATAATAAACAAAAAATCTAGAAATAAATATTAAATAGAAGCATCATTCAAAGAAGGTTTAAAAAGGGTACAGAGTATAAATTACACCTACAGGTGCCTACAGATAGCCATGAGTAGAATGTTGGTTGTTTTGTCAACGCATACAAATGACCCCTGGGACGACGATATATAAGTGGGGATGTAACATGCATTGGGAGCTAGGTAGTCAAAGTGCTGCAGCATGATACATGTAAAGAAACCCAGTCTTATAAAATTCCTTAGCAATCTCTGCATGTAGATTATTGGCATGGAAAGGAGGGCCTTGACATTCCATAATATGAGAAGCATCCAAAGATTGAATCCGACCATCTTCCCCAAATGCAACAACCACCTCGTCTGGCCTACATTGATGATGGAAGAAGTATTCATCGCAAATTTTGGCTGACTTGAATGGGTCTGCACGGCACACCGACCACCCCATTTCAAGGAACCAATCAGTATCACCATCAATGCCATCCATGCTCACAGTAACCACCACCACACTTGATGAATGCCCCTTTCCCTTAATTTCATTCTTATACCATGCCGCCAGTTTATCACCATCCTCATACCCCCACCATATTTTATTTTTTTTTTCAAAGACCTTCCCCCCTTTGTACATATAAAGAACAACAAAAGGCATCTTCTCAAGCACTTGTGCCAAAGGAACCTCCTCATCCATATTATTGAGCCTTCTAATTACATGTTGTTCCCAACAGGAAGGTAGTAATGACTTCAGTCTCAGTCCCATTTTCCTTTCGAACTCCTTCTCGATCAAATTCCTCCTGTTGAAGGGATAAGCGTCCACGCCGCCAAAGTCAGCCACGACTGGAAATCCGTATACATCCACATACTTTCTAACAGGATCCACAATGAAAAGGCCATCCTCCTGACTGTCACTTCGCATCCGACATAGCCTATGGCTCACAGTGTTGTTGAAAGGGAAAAACCACCAGCCTAGCAGCTTAACACTCTCAAGACCTTCAATCATAAACTTCTCCATCAACTTTGGGGGCTTTATCCCAACAAAGGGAACACCCACCACCACAATCTCAAGCTCACACTCTTTCCCCCGTTCACAACATTCCTTGTAAACCGCCTCAAGCTCATATAAACTGCTACCATCAAAGCACACATAAATCCCCACAAACTTTCTTTTAAGTTCTGAAATAGTAATACCACGACGACCATCCTCCTCATCCTCCATTCGATCACCGCCAGCATGATAATATCCAATGTTGTAGAGAACATCAGTGTCTCTAAGGCCCAAAAGCTCATTGAGGGAGTAGTGACCATGCCAACCACGTTCATGGCGTAAATAAGCACCCACTCTATCCGGAGTGAAGGGAAAAGCACCACCCTCAGCTCCTCCAACCTGACTGAACATTTTGGGCTGGCCATGGTAAAGCACCCTCTGAGATGGATCAAGAATCAAAGCTTTAGGCTGACCATCAAAACCAAGTACCGAGCAAATGTACTCACGGCGAAGATATTCACCGAAAGGGACAGCAAGGCAGGAAAAGCCCGAAAAGAAGTGTTCATAGGCAGAGAAGGAATGAGTGAAACCATTCCTCATCATTGGCACCACCACCAGCGCAAAATCGCCTCTTCTAGCGAGCTCGTGAGAAGCTAAAGATGTGTGATAAATCATGCGCGCATCGGCTGAAGACCATAT